TAAAAAAAGGAGAACAAAGGTAGGGGTGGATCTTATGAAAATCAAAGGGAGATCAGAAGAGGAAAGCCACCAAGTTGTGGGATAAAGAAATGAAAGGGTGAAGTGCAGGGGAATGTTAGTGGCCAAATTATATTGCCCTACTATGTGTACGTATGAATATGTAACAACAAATTCCATCAATATGCACAACTACAATGCACCAATAAATGTGGGGGAAAACGAAAGAGAGAAATCTTTTTAGAAGGCTAGTGACCTGGTCTCTCTGGCAAGTTCATTTCCAGGATGGGCTCTCCTGCCAGCCAGACAGCCTGGACCCGCCCACATGGACATGCACATGGCTCAGGTCAAGCAGGAGCTCTTTCCATGTGATTTACAAGCTCTAGACTTTGACCAGAAAAAATTACTAGAATACTGTTTTCCCCTAATTTGGAAGCCTCTAGGTAACTAATTGAAAAGGCTTAGGCTTTAAAGCATGTGGCTGCATGTTTTTCTATGTGAAAATATCCCCGAGTGATTAGATGGCCCTTCTGTCCCCTTTGTACATTCTCTGAAAAACCAACCTCACTCTAGCACTCAGCCAAGTGTCCCACTCTGTGCATCCTCCTGACGTCCTAATTTTGAGAAGACCCTTCTTCCTTCCTCTTCCCATCTTGCATTTTTTTCTCAAAGCTCTTGTCACACTTCTAATCTAGAAAAGCTACTGTGTGATTCATTATTTAATACCTGTTTCCCCAGGAGGGCAGGGAGGGGAGGGCTGTAGCCCTGATTGCTCACTACTGTATTTTCGGTATCTAAAGCTTTGCCTGACATTGGACATACAATAGGAGCTCAATAAATATTTGCTAAATAATTGTATGAATATCTGAGATCTCATAATTGTGATGCTGAACAAAAAACTCTTGTTTTAGGGAAAACAGACTGAAGTTGATTTTTTTTTTCCCTTTAGGTGGCTCCTTGGGGGTAGAGAGAAGATATGAGTCTATGGGGATAGTTTCTCCATTACATAAAGATTTGCTAAATAATTGTATGAATATCTGAGATCTCATAATTGTGATGCTGAACAAAAAACTCTTGTTTTAGGGAAAACAGACTGAAGTTGAATTTTTTTTTCCCTTTAGGTGGCTCCTTGGGGGTAGAGAGAAGATATGAGTCTATGGGGATAGTTTCTCCATTACATAAAGTCATCTCAGGCCTGCTATACCTGTCTCTACCCAGGATTATCACCCCCTGAAGAGTTGTAGTGGTTGGTGAGAATAATAACTGTAAGGCTATAATCAGAGCTATTCCCAGGTAAAATTATGAAGTTAGGGATGTTTATTTTTGAGATGTAAAGCCTCCCAGCAATATTAAGCAAGCTCCTGATACCATCTTCAAGAATTCAAAATCCAGAAAGCCACAGCTCTGGAAAACGGTTTTGTAGATGCTATCACCAGCAGTTATTGGTACACCACAAATGAAATCATCTTATATTTCACATGGATATATGGAAATGTGCTCACAAACATGAACAAATGGTACAAATTTAGGAACTGTATTTCTCCAAATCCTTGAAGACTTGCTTTTAATTACTACTGCTCCTTCCCCAGAGTAGAATTGGCTACACCCTCCTTTAGATCCTGGGGGTTGAGGGGAAAGACATGTATTGCTCACAAAAATATCCATGTGCTTCTCCACATTTCCCAGCCTCCTGCAATTGAGTGTGGCTAGAAATACAACTTCTAGTGGCCAGTGGACTGTGAGAAGAAGTGATAACTTCCTGGCCAAAGCATAGGCATTCTGTTTTAGTCAGCTTTTTCACTGCTGTTACCAAAAGACAAGAACTATTAGAAGAGGAAAAGTTTATTTTGGGGGCTCATAGTTTCAGAGGTCTCAGTCCATAGATGCCCACTCTATTCCTCAGGGTTCAAGGTGAAGGTGAACATCATGGCGGAAGAGTGTGGTGGAGGGAAGTAGCTCAAGATATCACACCAGAAAGGAGAGAGGGAAGGAGGAAGGGAGAGAGAGAGAGAGCCCAAAGGCCACACCTTACATGCCTCCAGTTACAACTCAGTTAATCTCTATCAGAGGATTAATTCACTGATTAGGGTGTAGCCATCTGGGTTCTGTAGGAATTTCTACTCAGAGGTTTAACTGAAGGGATGGTGGGTGCTGACAAGTATGAGCAGGTTGAGAGAAA